TATGTCTATGAGTTCAAGTGTTTTACCTATTTTATGTTCCAGGAGGTTGCGTTTTTCTGTTGCATTTATTTCTGTGCTCCACTTTGATTTTAGTTTAGTACATGGTGAGAGATTTGAGTCTAGATTCAAACTTCTGCATGTGGACAGTTTTCCAAATACCATTTACTAAAGAGACCATCTTTTCTCCAGTGTGTTTTTGACCTCTTTTGTCAAAAGATCAAACACTGTTGAATGTAACTGCACAAATATTAACTCTCCCATCTGGGCACTAAAATAGAAATTTCCAATGCTTAACCAGTCAACTTTGTGAGTAAGTCAATATAAAATAAAATTATGCTTTTAGACATTTCAACAAAGTATATCATCAGGGATTAGAATTCTTCAAAGAGTTAACAATTTCTGGTTTGGAAATTGCTGTTGTATTGTAAGCCAAGTTTGTACATGCCAAGAGATACGTTAGAGTTAAAGAATGTTGCATTGGATGGCGAAGAAAAATAACTATTTTTATTCGAAGCTTCACAAGAATGAATTCTTCTTGAAGAAAATTTTAAATTAATTTTTCCTTGTGATTGAAGATACAGTGACAATATGCAGAAACAGAAACTATGAAGTAATTTCTGGTACCTCATACAACATTCATGAATTACAGGAAAAAAACAGAGGAGACTTTAGCATGCTATTGAAATTTGTATTTACAGTTAGATCTATGTGTACTGGTATGGATGACGAGTTAAATGGTTTTTTTTTAAGTTTCTTTTTTTATGGGTACTGGGGATCAAACTCATGACTGCCTGCTTGCCAGGCAGGTGCTTATGCCGCTGAGCTAAATCCCCAGCCCCTAGTTAAATGTTTTTAGAGAAAATTTCTGTGTGATACTATATATATATACATATATATTATATATATATGTATATATTATATATATTTTATATATATATGTATATATTATATATATATTATATATACGTATATATTATATATATATTATATATATGTATATATTATATATATTATATATATGTATATATTATATATATATATAGTGAAATAATTGATTAGAAATTGTTGTAATCAGGAGTTGAAAGGAAAATAATTATATACTGGACACATAATTTATATTATTATTTACAACGATCACCCAAGGAGTCAAATACAAAGTAAGTGCAGGAAATCTTTCCATACCACTAATGATCTAAAATATCCAAGCAAAGGTTTGGTTTCCAGGACAATAACCTGCATCAGTTCAGCTGTAAACCTAGAGCCCATGACAATGACCCATGCAAGTCTATCCTATGGATCTGCACTCGGAAAGCCCACAAGTCAGTGATGGAAGCTAGAAAGTCTATGCTAGTGGGGTGAGGATCTGTGCCAGCAAGCTGACGGTTCTGTACTGGAGCCAAGAAGTGATGCTCAAAGTAAGGACCAAAGCTCTGCTGAAAAGTACCACAGCCATCCTCAGTGACAGTGAGGTCCCGGCTCCTCCAATGATGAGAACAGCCAAATGCATATCAGGAAGCCAGTGTGACAAACTTCTCCTGGAGATTGAACAGTACACATCTTCCCCTCTGAAGCCAGGAAGCGATGCTCGAGGTATGACCAGAGCTCCTCCAAAGTGAACCACAGCCACTCTCACCCACAAGGTCCCAAGCTTCTCTGATGATAACAGTTGAGTTTGTATCAGGGATTCCAGCATTAACAAACTCCTCCAGGAGAACCAATAGCCCCAAACAACACTTAGGAGAACCCACAACATTATTCTTTCTCTCCAGGTCTCCTTTTTATGCTGGCAACAGCCCTCAGGTGGGTCATCCATGCTCAAAACCACACTGATTCAGTTCAGCTGGTGTTTGAGTTGACCACCAGTTACAAATCTGCTACAGAAATATATTTCTATGTTGTCCTACTTTGTAATACACTCCGAAGAGTAGTACTATCAGAAAGCTTTTCTCAAATTTAAAAATTATCTGTAACCTTTTATTTACCTAGAGTGATAGATGTTGTTTTCAATTATGTTAATAAAATGGAATTGCTAACACTGTGGATTTTGATGATCTAGCAAATATATTTGCTAAAATGTGAGTCAGATACATAGTAAGCATCTATGTCAAAATACAAGATAAAAAGGGACTGGGGATTTAGCTCAGCGATATAAGCACCTGCCTGGTGAGTGTGAGGTCTTGAGTTTGATCCCTGGTACAAAAAACAATTACATTAAAACACAAAATAAAAAATAAAAAACACTGGACATGTAACTCACTTTGAAAGCCCTTGGTTCAACCCTCAGTGCCACCCCATCCCAAATTTAATCAGAAAAGTTATGACTATTTCATCACATTTGTAATTATTAGTTTTATATCACATAAGATTATGAAAAAAAAACATATTTTTCTCACTTGTAAATTTATGTTGCTTCCTATTTGTTGAAATCATGGTTAGTATATTTTATAAATGAAACAATTTTTTAAAGGAGAAGGTATCAGTTTTACTAACTTTTATGACACCCTTTGCCCTGCTTTTGGAAAGAGGTCCTCTGTTTTATTTTGTACTGGGCTTTGCACCTCATGCCATGTCCTGTGACCTGTCTCCCTAACTGAGCTTCCCTGGAGTGCTTCAGAGCTCACAGGGACCACAGAGCCCCAGGAACCTGGCTCTTGCTCCTGATTCTGTGGTTATTTTGGGAGCATTTTTTTTCTTCATTTTGAGATAAAATTGCATATCACCCACACTATCCTTTCCTTAGCATTTTGGACTTCTCCTCACTTTGATTTGATTCGCTTCTTTCTTTCTGTCACCCATGTGATACAGGTCTGGGAGGCTTCATGGGTAGACGCTGCTTTCATTCTGAATGCACTTGATGGCTGTACTCAGTGTCACTAATTGCACCACTCAAAACACAGTCATCTCTACAGGGTGCTATCTGAAAAGATTTGTGCATTCATAGGAAAGATAATGCATATCACACAACACACAGTAGAAACAACAAAACTGTCATGTTGCAGTTACCACTTCTCAAAAGCTCCTCTTTCATTTACCTAGTTTATCGCTATTTGCTTTCCTCACACAGTCTCGAGCTCTTCTGACTTCCTAAACTATTTAGATGTAGTCTTAAATTTGCCCATTTCAGCCAGCCAAAGGGGCATTGTGAGCTAAAGACCATCTGCTGTTATTGATTCTGCTTCTTATTTCAGGCAAGATTCCTTTTAAGAAATTTCTAGTTTCTCCTAGAAACACATTTCCTCCTAAGCTGTAACACTGCTAAGAAAAGATAGTTCCCATTTTCTTCTTGTCTTTTCCACTTTTCTGTCATTGTTTTTCTTTCAAATTCTGCACTTACTTTCAAAATTTCCTGTTTTTTTACTATTTTATTTGTGCGTTGGGTATTTCATAAATATTTGCATTTTCACCTAGTTTTTAAATAAATATTTTTGCAAAAATGAGCTCAAAATAATTGTTACAATTGATGATTTTCAGGATTGGAAATTATCCAAATGATTTAGTCAATAGCTTCCTTTGATTTTTTCAGAAACGGAAAACTTCATTAATACTCAAATTAGTCATTTTAATCTTGGACGGCTGTTATTATTAGAATTTCCTTTTTATGAGAGGCCAAAATCTGTCTTCTTTCCAGTTTTAAGGAAGACAAAAGGCTTATTTTTAAAAAAAATGTAGAGCAAAATAAAGTCCTCTAATTTTTCAAAATGCTTGGAAGATTTCCATAATCAGAATCATCACAATCTTGTCTCAGAGTGTTTAAGATGGCTATTCATTATTAAATACTGTTTTCACATATTTTAATTATTAGCATTTTTGCATTTTTCATGCAGTTGATTAGAAAGACTTTTGTAGGACGAAGTAATTGCCAATTATAATATTGTTCTATTGCAAGAAGAAGTCTTCATTTTCAAAGTCACACACCTCCAAATGGATCTTTGCTTTTCCAAGCTGACATACTTGCAATATGAACCAAGTGCAGAGTGCTAGTGAGGCTCAAGTTTTGTCATGATTCACTCCTTTTAGACAATTTAGTGGAAAGGAATCAATTCAGTGTTGCTGCTTGTGTTAGATTTCATAACGATATTTGAGCTTTAGAGAAAAATTATGTGGACAGTTACCAAATCATTTGGTCCTCTATTTGCATTTACAGTTACAACCAACCATGGATATAAAATATTCAGAAAGAATCCCATGAAATTATAAAAAGCGGACTTGAAATATGTGCCCAGTACTTCCTTTCTTTTTGGTACTGAGAATCAAGTCAAATCCAGTGTCTCTACACTGCAGTTATATCCCCCGCCCTTTTTAATTTCTTCTTTAGAGACAGGGTCTTGATAAAGCACTGAGCTGACTAGGCTGGGATTGAATTTATCATCCTCTTGCTTCAGCCTTACCTTGCTTCAGCCTTCCAGAGTGCTGGTATTACAGGCATTCACTACTGCATTTGGGTATTGAGGACTACATTGAATCTGCACTTCTGAAGTGCAGGTTTCATATTAAATACTATAAGTAATCTAGGGATAATTTAAAGCATACGAGAAGACACCATTTTAATGTAGAGGCCCTGAGTATTAGACTTTATTTATGGAGACCTCTGAACCAATCTTTCATAGACATCACTGTACTCTGAAGTTTCAAAGATAACGTAAGTAGGAGGATAAAATCAGTATCTACCAGGAAGACTTTATGTGCAGCTCAAACTTCTGACTGAAAACAAAGGCAGCAGGAGCTGGCTCAGAAGGTAGGACAAGGGTCCATTGCGCTGACAATCAGCAGCAGGCATCCCTCACCCTTCCCAGGGGCTAGACCCCACAGCAGTACACACAGTTGTCAGCATGGAGGTCCAAACCCGTCTTCTCCTCGGATGCCAGCTTTGCTACAGACAAATGTGCCACTCCTCCTCTTGCCCCAGAGCCAGGAACTCTAAGCACAGCCTCTATGTGGTGCATGCTCTCATGAATATGAATGTTTAGAAGATTGTGTATTCAAATATATCCACTGAAACATCATTTTACTGATTTTATTTGAAGATAACTTTGGTTCACAAACTAGCAGTGCAAGAAGCCTAATGTGCATTTCACCCCTTTCCCCCTCCCCCTCTACAAAACAAAAGAGCTGTGGATTTTCAACAATTTGGGATGCAGAGAAAATTGTTAAGTTACAGATTTATTTTGTCTAATTAGCAGGTTCAAATCCACCAAGGCAATTCATATGGTCATCTAACCATAGTTGGGATTAGTAGGCAATACAAATGAATCTTCACTTTGACATTATGATTATTATTATTATTGGTTTTTTTTTTTTTTTTTTTTTTTTTTTGTACTGGGGATCAAACTTACGATCTCATCTCATGCTCGCCATGAAGGCACTCACACCACTGAACTAAATCCCTGGCCTGACATTATTTTTCTTAAATACAACATTAACATGTAACTTTAAATCTCATGCTGAAAAACTATCAGCGTAAAACATTGATTCAGAAGATCATTACTAATAGTCGCTTCTTTCCTGAAACTATCTGACATAGCTATTTTAAAGTTAAACTAGGGCCAATTTACAATAATGTGTTTTTATAAATATATATTCAGAGTTAATCGAACATACTTATCAGGTTGAAAACTCATAGGAAAACTGGATAGATAAATATAATTCTTCAAAAAAATATCAATGTGTGAACTCTCTCCCAGGAATAAGTGTAACACTTGAAAACTTCAGTAATTCTTGGTTGACTGAAATGATTTAAGTGTTAGAAGGACTTCCACATAATCCATCCTTTAACACTTTTTATGTGATTACCATCTTTGGAGCTTCAACTATTAGTGTTTCCTCTCAGTTTCAGACTGAGTTTCATCTGCTTTCACTCTCCCTTTGAAAGAAGTCATGGTCTCGTTCGCTCCAAGGTACTCATCAAGGACATTCATCACTTTTGGAGATAATATTCTAGATACAAACAGAGAAAAGATTATTTTTTTCTATTAAGAACCTTAAACTGGTCCAAGAGACTACTTTGTAAATTTCGATCACCTACATGACACCACAACAGAGAATTCCACACCTGACTCCATGGATGGATCACAGTCAAAATGCAGACACGCTAAGAACACTGTATAAAGTTCCCTTTGAGGTATGTATATAAAGTGTAACTGAAATATAAGTGGATTTCTGGTTTACACTCAGGTTTAATCTCTAAGAAATCTCGTTACGTTTACACAAAGGTTCCAAAATCTAAAGAAATCTGAAATCCAAAGTCGTCCAGTGCTTAGCATTTTTGAAACTCTATGTGTGTGTGTGTATAGAGCAGAGAGGAACATATGGCAAAAGTTTAAGCTCTGTAATCAGATAGAAAACGTTGGTTTGCGACCTTGTTCCCACACATATTAGCTACTTAACCTCACAAAAATTACCCTTTGAACCTTGGATTCTCTAAATGTGGTAAAATGTATGCAGAACCATCAGCACAGTAACTGGAACATGTTGGACACTCTGTAAATGTTAGCTGTGGTTTTCAGGCTGAGCAGTCTACAAATACACAGAACTCACTGCATGGTTCTCATAGGAGCATGGAGGAACGGGTTCCTTAAGTGAATGTGGAATTGGCCAGTCAACTTTTAGCACCACAGTCAAGTTTTTTACATTTCTTCTCAAAATAGAATTCTACCTTAGTCAAATTACATTGACTAAAACCAAGTGAGCAAAGTAATGTACAACAAACCCAAAGCCTCCCAAATAATTTGTGTGCTATTTGTTTTTGTGTTGGAACAAATAATGTGTGCTCTGAAGGGTTGCTAAGTTTTGTCAACATCTGAAATAAGAAACAGGTACAGTAGTTCAGTAAGCTGTCCTTGTGCTACCAAATCCCTTTCCTCATTAAAAAAATATGAAGTTGCTTTTCTAGATCAATGAAGTAGTGAAGGTTGGACAATTTATTTACAACCAAAAGGAAAGTGTGGCCATTCATAACTTACTGTTTAAGGATCATTGCAAAATATATGAATCTGGGGAGCATGAGGTAAACTTTTTCCTCCAAAATAGCATTGAGAATTTTTTGGGCCACGTGCTCCTGCTCCATGATAGGTAACAGAAATGGATGCCTGGAATAATAATAACAAAAGACTTATTATCAGAGTAGTATTTTTTACAGTCATCACTGGGCATCAATTAGTAGCTTTCAGAGATGGAATTATCATAGACAGCTAAAACTAGTGAAAAAGGAATGGTTTACTGGTTTCTCTTATGGTTAACATTGGTATCAATGCTACTGTATTTAACTTTCTCTAATTAATCTTGACTTTTAATTTATTGATCTGTGTGATGACCTGAACATATGGAAGCAATGGGATTTAGCTTGTTTTGTATCTTTCTTCCCTCTGTTAATTCCAAACATCAAATGATTGGATAGCATGAAGCAAACTTGCAAAAATTATTTTACCAAAACAATCTTTTGAGCGTGTGTAATATTATCTTTTAGGGAGACCACTGTTATAACATTGAGGAGAAGTAGCTGTTTGTGGGATTAATAGCCATTGAAATGAATGAGATTATAAATCCCACAAGGTATTCTTTAACATTTTATATTTTTACATTATTGTCTCAATTATTTGAATCATTTTTCTTTGAAAAATTCCATTTACCTTAATTCATTCTTGGTAACTGATCAATTACCAGTAATTGCCAATTTGTCTTTTTTTTTCCTACTAAAATTTCTTTAGAACTCTAGCCTAAAGGTCTCCAACATTTGTTTATGAATACAATCTCCATGTTAGTTTTTTTCTTTCATTATTCATTATTTTTAGATTACTAATCTGTCCTTTTCGGGAGACTTCCTTGTCAGTTTCTATTGGACCTTGAATTTATAAAAGCTGTCATTTAACATCACATTCTTCCCTAAATACCATTGCTGGCTGGTCACTTCCTGCTGCAACCTTGGCAGTCTAGCTGTCAAAAGCACCTAATTATACTTTATCAACAATTAGCACATAATCATACTTTACTATCAGTTCTTACTGATATGGTTGTTTTGTAATAATATTATAAACAAAGTAAGTAAAACTATGTACATAAGAATAAATATACATATATATATACATAATACATTGAGATAAAATATGTATTGTGTGATTTATAAAAATAACGTATGTGCTAATTTTTCTTATCAATTTATATAATCAATTACTTTTCACAGCATGCTTTCACTGATTTTTGCTGAGTTCTTGTGTTACATATATTCTATTGTATAAACATGCTGTTTTGTTAATCCATTCATCTGTCAATGGATATCTAGATTGTTTTCTACTTTAGTTATGAGTGATCTTTATAAACATGAGTTAGAATTTTACAGGGGGCCATTTGTTTTTAGTATTTCTTATAAGGTGGAGTGATAGTAACAAATTCTATGTTTGATTTGTCTTCTTTTTTGACATATGATTTTGATTGCCTGACAATATTTTCTTTTAACACTTCAAATATCTCAACTCATTCAGCCTTTGGCTTCCATTGTTTCTGTTGAGAAGTCAGGTGTTAACTGTACCCAAATTCGTTGTATAAGATTAGATATTTTTTTCTCTTGCCATTTTGAATATTATTTTTTAATTTCTGTATTTCAAAATTTTGTATATATGTCTGGTATATATGTTGGAGAACCACGTATGTTTATTCTATTTGGAATTTATTGAGTTTCTTGAATAAATAATGATTTACATCAAATTTAGGAAACTTTCAAATATTGTTTTTTGGTATATTTTTTTCTTTTGCCTTACCTATATTCTCTGTTTCTAGTCCTCTTACCATATAAATGTCTACAATTTAACAATGTCCCAAATTTCTCTGAAGTTCTGTTTTTTTGTTTTGCTTTTTTCCTTTTCTCCTGCTTGCATCTTCAAGTTCACACAATCTTTTTTCAACTAGTTCACATCTGCTGAGTTTCTCTAGTGAATTGTTTATTTGTTATTGTTCTTTTCCATTTTCAAATTCATGTTTTATACTTTTTACCTATTGATATTTGATGAAACATTTAAACCGTATTTTCTTTTCATTTTTTGAACATGGATTCCTTTATGTCTTTGAATATACTTAAATAGCTCTTTGAATTTTGCAACTCCAAAACCTATGTCCCCTTAAAGGTACTTTCTATTTTCTGTTTTTTTCTGGTCATGGTTCATACTTTCCCGCTTCTTTGTATACCTTATAAATTTTGTTAAAGTGAACATTTCCAATAATATATTTTAGATAGTGCTCTCTCTTGCTTGTTTAGTGACTTGATTGGATTACTTCAGTGAGGTCTGTTTGCTAGTCATCGGAGATGACTGTGGCTTCAGTTGATAATCTTTTACTGTTCTCTTTTGTGTCTTCTAATTAAGCTTCTGGCTGCTATATTCCTCATATAACACCTAAATTCTAACCTCCACAATTTGCTAATTGGCTGTTATTTTTCCTGAAAATATTATGTTAATAGTCTTATCTAATTGAAGTCAGGTCCTGTGGCAGGAGCAGAGGAGATGCTAGTCTCTGAGACTGGCTTTGGGCTTCACATGATAGAGCCTATGTCATGGCACAGGAGATGCAGTTATAATTCTGTACTAATTACTTCACCCATATTGGCTTCATAAATCAAGATAGAAAAGTTGCAAGTGGATGACAGGTACCATTTCGCTGCCACCATCCTGTGTAGATTTCTCATGGCCCAGATAAGATTTGGTGATATTAACTGTCTAATAAATCTACCTAAAATAATTCTTCTATCTTAGGAGCTTTGGAACTGACACTTCAGTAGCGAGCTTATTGGAGCTGCTCTCTTAAAACAAAGAACTGATATGGAAAGAGAAACTGCTTCTTTTATCTATGATTACTCCCCAGTTTTTTCCTGCCTCATGGAAACTGAGGAATAAATTTCTGTCTGTCTGAGCTTATCTACTCTGTACAGTCTTCTACTGCTAGGAGTTATTGAAAATGAACTCTGTCAGTGCTCGTCTATGTTAAACTACTTAAAATAGCCTTGGAAAGGTGGAAATTGCCCCTTGATTGCCAAACCCACTGAAACAGCTATGCCCAAGGCACAGAAGCAATATTACCTCAAATGCCATGGCCTTTCAGTATTCTGACTGAGTTTCCATAGATTTTGTTGTATAAATGCTTATCAACTTTTGGCATATCTTTTGGTCATTCTGAAAGATTTTAAATTCTGAAAGATCTTTGCTAATTTTGACTTATTTAGTAGATGTCTCTATGGAGAAAATTTTTCACTCTATATTCTGTCAACTTTTTGCCATCTGCTTTGGAACTTTCTATTTAATTTTATAGCTCTATTGGACTCTGAGTCTATAGTCTTTTAGTCACCTCTTTTGGTAGCTGTCACTATTAAAATGTGGCTGATGTGTATTACTTGGAGGGCATCAGTTCCTTTTCTAACAATTGTAATAACTATACTAGTCCTCATATTAACTTGGAAAGTGCTGATATTTCATTTACTTTCCAGTTCAAATTGTTCAAGGTAAATCTAACATTTGTAACAAAATACCACTCTAACATTTCCTTATATATATTAATCCTACAAAACATTTTTTCTTTGGGGATGTTTTTACTTTAATTTCCTTTGGTAGCTACTTTAATGGTTTAATAGTTAACTGGTTTAATTTGTTTATTATCCTGTGATATTCTGATTAGCATTTCAGGTAATGACCACTCCTTAAATTTCGTATCATTATTTTTAAGTTAAATAAATTTATTAATTTCATATTTGTTGAATTTTTTTAACTACATTAATCATTTCTATTTTGTTTTGCTTTACCAACATATTTCAAAACTTCAAAATGATAAAATGATATGCTTATATTAGATGACTTTTATAAAAGCAAAGATTGTTGCAAGAGTTCACTTACTTGGTTGTACAGCCCTCAAACATTCCAGTATTGAAAAAAAAAGGGCAGATGATGGTGGTTTTAATCTTATTTCCCTTTATCTTGCCTAATTCATAGAAGAGAGACTCCGCAAAACCAAAGGCTGCAAATTTACTTGCACAATAATCTAGAACAAAGTAAGGAATTATTAATTATAGAGTTAACAATTCTTGAAATTATAAAAAAAGAAAAAAATCCTCCTCCTTTATTCAACTCATCCCTGGAATTATCTTGTTGCTAAAATTTAGGCAACCAAACAATTCAGTTTGTCTCCACACTACACAACCGGTGAAAAGAAGAAACCATTGCAATTTCTGTTACTCCAATATGACCAGTGAACAAATAAGCATATTCTATTTTTTCAAAGAAGGATTTCCATCTTCCTCTACCACTATACAGTATGAAAATAGAAGGGAACTCTTGAAAATAGTCAGATCCAAATGTTCCAAGGTTTACACTGGGACAAAAAGACCTTCTGTGTTTCTTGTAAGAGTTCTAATTTGTGGATGTTATTGACTAGGGAATGAAAAGGTACAGGATGAAGTCAGGCACTGACCTGATAGTCCACGAATACCAAACAGTCCTGCCGCACTTGAAATACAGACCAAGTGACCATGGTTAGCTTTAACCATGGCAGGAAGGAAGGCTTTATAAGTCTGGAAGATAGAAATATACTGTGTCATTATTTCATCCATTTATTACTTTCTTTAGTAAGAATATGATGAATTTGCTAATTCATTTAACAAATATTTTAATAGTCATATGTGTTAAATCTTGTGACAGTACAAAATTAGGAAGCAAAGAGCCACTACTTTCCAGGAGTTTAGGTGTGTTCATTTGTAAGATATGTGATTTTTTTTCCCTTTGGAAGAAGTTCTATTAATTGACTCAAATGAGCATTTAACATTTATTGAAATCTTAACATTTAGATTTTATATTGCTCTGAATTCTTTCATATGGTTTCCCACTATTTGTATTAAAATTTAATTTCATTTTTGCTTTCCAGACTTTACCATGAATAAGACTTTCCTTACCCTAGAGGGTTACAGAACGGGGAAATTGCTCAAGGAAAAATTGAATTTCAATGCAAGATAAACATACCTTGTAAGTAAAGTACATGTACTTTGGAATTGTTTATTATGATTTACATTCATAACTTTCTGTGAACTTCACTCATTCATCTGCAAGCATGACATTAATTCTATTTTCTAAGTCTCCATGCCATGAGAAAATAATTTTATTTCTTTATCCTGCACTTTGTAGGTCCTTAGGTAAATTTCCCATTCTCTATTCCCTGATACTACTTTGTTTCTTGAAACTTGTTCATCAATAATGATCAAACTCTTGGAAACAAGGCAGAGGTGATTTCATTCTAGGGCACTGTCTGCTAAAGTTGGATGAGAGTCATCTCCTTTGTGGGAGATAAGACTTTGGTTATGATTAAGACCTAGATGTTTCACAGTTCGTACGCTTAGAAGGTAACATGCAGAAAACTATTCCGTGTAGTCTTCTGTTCTACTATAAAAGATAATATCAGAGTTAAGAGTTTAGGAACCTTAGGTCAACGTTGCTTTCCCTAGGAGTATATAAATCCAAATTCTCTTATCATCATTTTGTCAGCTGTATCATTCTGCTGGCTCTTCCATAAGTGATTTTAATAAAATTTTGACAACTCTCACCATTTGAGGATTTGCGATTTTAACAATGTCAGAATTTCATATTACTAATCAATCTCAGTTCATCAAAAAGAATAGTTTGTGCTGTTATTCTTTGATTGTGTATTTTTTATGCCTAACTCCTGTAACCTGAACAACTATTTCTAAGATAATATGCAGCATATTTAGTGTTAATTGCTTACTGTTTGAAATTCTGTATCATTTATATCCTTTTTTCTGCTTTGCTTTTTAAAATAATAAGAATTTAATATTTATGGTTTTAGAAAATCTGCCCACATGTGCTCACCTACAGAGAGCAGTCATGAGAGTGAATAATATATTTGCTTTCAAATGTATTTGCTAACCTTGTCCTATAACTGCTGAACTAATGGGTGAGTGTCTTCTTTTTGGGGGACTGTTGACCTCTTTTGACATGTCATGTTCAAATACAGTGGCAATTGTTGCAATTATTTCTTGTGATCATGACATCTGCATCTCTCAAAATTAAAAACCGAGAACTCTTATTGCACTAGTTGTGACCATAGGCTAGGTAGGAATGACAAGGGCTGGTTGTTATCTTTCAAAACAAATGTGAAGGCTCTGGAGCCTGAGTTCCAGAAGGCCTGTCTCAGGGACCATGTAACAGACCTAGTGAGGTGTAGACAAATACATTCCTGGCAAGGGTATCTGTGCAGTACCTGCATTTGTACTTGCTTTTGAACTGAAACTGAATTTGATACTAGTTTCCTGTGTTTTCAGTTTAGGAACACTTTCCCTCATATAAAGAAAGTGACTAGATATTATCAGTGGTCCTCCTTTATCCATAAGGAATGCATTCAAAGACCTCGATGAATGCACGAAACCATTCATAGTAGTGAGTACACAGTACCCTAAGCATATGTGGTAGTTTTCTGTACGTGCACATATGTGATAAAGCTTAATGTATAAATTAAGAGTAGTGATAGATTAACAATAACAATTAATAGTAAAACAGGCCAGCTATAATAAAATACTGTAATAAAAGTTATGTGAATATGGTCTCTCTCTTCTCTTAAAATATATCTTGTGGTATAAATCTTAGCAAATCTCAGCATATCATTTTTGTCCTTCTTTACCAAGTGAAAAACTTCTGCCTTTGCACCTAAAAGACATTACAGCTTGTCTTTGGCATAGCTGAATTGTTAGCATCATTACACTTGTACCTTGCAGACATCATTAAATGAAATGAGTTACTTACAAGAGTTGTGACACCACAAGAGTTGTCTGATAGCTCAGCTACTAAGGGACTGGGAAGTGGGAGATACATGCATGGTGGGTGCTCTGGACCAATGGGTGATTTATGTCTTAGGAGAGACACAGTGGTTTGGTGTGAGAGTTCATTCTGCTATTCAGAATAGCACACAATGTACAATTAGGAATGATTTATTTCTGGAGATTTTTATGTATTGTTTTCAAAATATGGCTGACCACAGGTGATTGAAATTGCAGAAAGTAAAACCAGATAGATATCAGAGAACTACTGTCCAAGAGTTCATTTGTGTTCTCAGCCTTGTGTATGAGAGCAGAGCTCTTTAGCAAACATTTGGAAGAGAGATCGGTCAGAGAAACCTTTATTTATCTTTACTGGATGGATGTCTATTGTTAGGAATATTTCAACTTTTTAAAAGTATTTTTAGTATTTGGGAAGCTGACAGGGATTTACATGTGAATTGCCCATAACCAAAGTAAATGTGTGAACAAATCAGTCTTGTTTGATAACTAGTACATATAATAAAATCAAACAATTTTATTATGTGTAGGATGTAATGCATAAAAACAACCAAATTGTTTGATTTTATTTTTATGTATTTATATGAGACTTTTTCAGAGAAAAAGCTAATGAACGAACTTATGTTTAAAAATGTTTCCAGACTACAATTGTATATATTAGATGTCGTGGTTACACTTTCACACTGGAATGAGTTACAAAAGATGTACTATTTTGGATTTTCATTTTCTCAAAGAGTTTAATCCTTAAAGAATTATTTGAGCTTTTTCTGTTACCTGTTATCAGTAGTGCCTGATTTTCAGGCTAGGCGGTGCTTTGATGTAATGATAAATCCTCTAACAGGTAGAGGGAGCAGAAAACCTTTACACTGCTGTCTTACCTATTTTTTCTTCTTGATGAGACAAAATACCTGACACCAAAGTTACAGGAGGAAAGGCTTATTTTGCTGACAGTTGGTAGACCTTTCAGTTCACAACTGGTTGGCTCTAAGCGGCATGGCAGACAGGCATTGCAGAGGAGGAGCAATTCAGGGCAGGCAGAAGATTGTGAAGTAAGAAAGCTGCGACAGTAGCTTCTTTCTGTCCCTTTTATAATCTACCCACCCTTAGGCAGGCAGCGCTCATACCCAGACGTATGCCAAATCAATCAGGGGACCTGAACAGTAATCACACACCCTTAGTTCCAGCATCACACACTCTAGATCCGGTCACCTCTGAAAAAGCCACACCTATGACCCCATAAGGCTTTGAAGGGACAGCTTGACACAAGCTATAACAAATGCCTCTGGGACATTTTACAATCTAGATACTGCACCCATGTACTTGGCTGTGGTGTTTTCTTCATTATATACTTTGAGCTCACATACATTACATGTGCATATTTTAACAAAATCTATATTTTGGAGACAAACAATGTGTCTTTTTAGATTCTTACTGTGAAAAAGGAAACACTAAAATGATCACTAGGAAAGGCAAACTAGGAAAGTGAGAAATAGCATCATGTAGTTTTACAATTATATTTTTGTTTGTTATTTCTATGTTTTAAACTCGATGTAAATAACCGAAAAGATTTTCCTCCATTATTTATTTCCTTATTTAGTACATAAGTAAAAGCCACTATAAAACACCCAAATAGACCAATCTATAATTTTCCTTCACAATTCTTTTTACTGTGTTTTTAGATAAATGCATGATGAGAAATTCAACACTAATAATTTTGGGTTTTCTTATGAAAAAACAAAATGAAGGATCTCAACCACTAGAAAGATTTTATCAACAATCAGAATTTCATTTGAGTATTTTCTAGAATATGGAAAATGTGGTCAAATATATCTCCCATGCTATACGTATAATAACAATTTCTATAACTCTATATGTGCCTTGGATGAATTTTTCCCTCAAGATTGTCACTTGTATGTTTGGCAAGTGAATAATAAATCTGTTATTTGTTAAAATTTTTGATTGATGACATAATAAGAATTATTTCAGAAACAAAGCCTGTAAAGCATATTAACATCTGAGGGAACAAGTATTTTGTATCTACTTTAGTAAATGGTTGTTACTAATACAATATTAAATTTTGAAAATTTGTGAGAAATTCTTGGGTACCTATAACATTCATAAAATGTTTAAAATTCATTGAGAATAGGAGTTGAGTTACCAAGCACAATTTTGGTGTTTCTTGTAAAATTTCAACTAAGATGATAAGTCCGAAGTTTTATATACCATAAATTTTTGCATAATGATAAAGTTAACTATATTTTAAAGTTATTACTAAAAGCTAACAGCTACCTGTATCTTTGTGTATGTTTAAGGTCATACACATATATACATATGAAAATTAACTAACAAAAGAAAGTTATGATGAAATCAAGAGATCTTGTAGTTTAAAATTGGTCTTGAAATGTTCGGTGTGTAAGAGATATTAAAAGTTCAATCTTTATCTGTGAAAAGATAAGAATCTTTGCTCTCTGTGCAGACTACACAGGTAAATAATAATATAATAATCATAATTATTAAAGGACTTCAGATTTTTCATATGCGACAAGTTTTAGTTATCTGATTTAACTATTCAGTAGCATAATTAAAGTAGGTAGGGCTCAAGTGCTCAGAGTTAGCTACAGAATCTGTTTAGCCTATAGGACTGCTGATACAGTTGTTCTCGATACTACAGCGAGATCAGTTCCAGGACTCCTTGCACAGGCTACCAATATCCAAAGATGCTTATATAAAATAGTGTTCTCTGTAACCTACGTAATCTTCTGATTCACTTGGCATCATTTCTAGATTATTTGTAAGACCTAATTCAATAGAGTTGTTACAGTATTATTTTGGGAACAATGAGAAGGAAAATATATACATGTTCACTATGGGTGCATTTTATGTTGAAATATTTTTATCTGCAGTTGGTTGGATCTGTGAGGGGCACACTATGGAGGGCTGGATTGTGGAATCAATGAGGGACACTTAATGTGGTTTAGTGTTCTATTTTCTAATTGATAATGTGGAAGTTCTTTGTCTTTCTTCTGGATCTAAGTAGTTAAGAAATTATACTTATGCAAGCAGGATAGAAAGCTTTTTGAATACTCTTTAATCCAAATGATATTCCCAGAATCCAGGGAAAAATTCTTATGGGAAACCTGAATTTAGATTATAAATGGAGTAATTTATCAAGTGAATGTAAAAATTATGATAATCATAGTAGTTGGAATTCAAGTTAATCTTAGTAGACTAAGCTTAACAAAATATATGGAATGAAATTTGACTTATCTAACCATCAAGAATCTACAAACAATCAAGTCATGTCATGTATTCAATGAAAGATTTTCATGGCCTTTGTCTATAGACCTGCCATTGGCCAGACCTATTATAATGATTGTGAGATTCTTCATTTTTTTATGATGTTGCACCTATTTACAGCCTTCTGTTTGCCAGGACATAACCAAAAAGCTTGATAAGGCAAACAGGTTGTAAATGTGTCATTTGATCATGGATAATAAGCCACTCCTGAGGGGCAATGGCTGAAGTTTACATGTAGAAGCAGTGGTTGTCAAGCTGCCTTCCCAGGAAATTGGAGTGATATATATTCTGTGGCTCACAGGTCCCTTCCATCTCACAGGTAGTAAGGGAGGTCATTTCCCACAGGACCAGAAACCCTGGTAGGTCTGAAGGACATTGAAAAAAAAAAAGAAATCTATTAACTGCCTGGCATAGACATATTCTTTGAGTTTGTCTTCCTAGCTTTGGAACAGCTGAGCTAATCAGAGCATTACGAAATTTTTTTTTTAAAACTTCAAATTCTAAAAGTGAGTGAAGATTCCTTTTATCATCTTCACATGGAAGCTGATTCTTTGATTCTAGTGGCTGCCCAGAAGCATCTTTCTAGTTTTGCTGATTTATACCAAGACAGCTTATATGTATTTGTTAATATTGTATAAATTATTCAAGGCAGACAACAGGACTTACATGTAACATAAAGGTACAAGGTTAATGACTGTGTGAAGCCTGCAGAATGTGAAAGGGCTCCTAGGTGAGTCAGGAGAAAGCATTCTTGTTAAAGAGAGAAGGGCTGGTGGCAAGACTCTCAGATGAAAAAGCTTGGCATGTTCTGCATTTAATCAAGATATTGGGAATGGAGTATGGAAAGTGAAAGGAAATTAAAAACATGAAGGATGAGAGACAGATTGGCAGATATGGCCACATCATACCAGGGCCTACAATTCACGACAGGTGACTGTATGTTATTCTAAATGCCTTTAGACATCCAGGAATATTTTTGAGCTGGACAGTGAAGTGATTTGATTGTGTTGAAAGGATCTCCTCAGTCTCACATATACCCCATGAAAATCTGTTCGTGAGAGATGAAAACTGCTTGAACCAGAGACTGAGAGCAGTGATGGAAGCAAGTACGCTTAAACACATTTTGCAGGGAGAGATGAGATGTTCGTACTGATGGAAAAGGAAAAATCAAAGGTGATTTCTGGGTTTATGAATTGATAACAATTGGGTGCATCCAAGCTCTACTTACTAAAAGGAAAAGATTTGAAGTGTGGTAGTTTCAGACAAGAAATCAATGGTTTTCACGAATTTTTATGGAATACTTGCTATATACCAAGAACTTTGTGAGGTACTCAGTTTGTAATTGTTAAAATAGGCTTGTTGGACTGCAGTGGGATTTCCCATTTTCTTTCCAGTTACCGTGAAAGAAGATCACGGAAATAGTTCTGAGGACTGAGAAGAATAGATGGGAATGTTGCGTGGAAAAATACATTGAAAGCAAACCCATTCCAAGCCTCAGAGCCTCAGAGAAACGGAGGAACAAGGAACTGCCTTCCCCATCATTCCCCGTATGTCCTGCAGTCCTGTTTCTGGTCATCGGTATCGCCTGCGTGCTCCACCCACTGCCGGTTCCTGTTCTTTCTTCCTTCCCATTGGAGATGACTCTGGAAATCTCAGCCTCCCCCACCTCTTGCCCACTCTTTAGGGTTGCAATGCCATGGCCATAGTCTCTAAGCATCTGTGGCTATTTAAATATTTATGTAAATGAATAAAATGACATAAAGTTAAAAGTGGTCCCTTAGCCCCACCAGTCACATTTCAAGTGCTCAATAGCTGTAAACATCTAGTGTTTGCTTCATTGGAAAACAGATGAAGACTATTTCCATCATCAATGACAGTTTGTCATAGAGACATTCCAGAATCATAAATTCACTATTTTTCTCCTAAAAATATTCTTTTTGTCCTTTCCCACTTCTTCACTTTGCAAGCTTGAGTTACCACTTACCAATTAACTGAGCTTGGGGAATTTACTTAAACACTTTGGGATCCAGCTTTTTTATTTTTAAAATGAGAATTTAATGCCATCATGGCTTTCAATGCAGTTTAAGAGCCTACTATACAATATGTACTCAATAAATGTTGCCTTCATCTCCTTCCTCATCCAGTCTTGATGTACCTAAATTATTTCTCTAAAAATAGCCACAACCTCAAAACTCTTTGTTCACAAGGGACAAATTAAATCTCTCTTGTAGGAAGATATCTGAATGGCTTAATAACTTTCAGACTCAAATTGGAGACAGTACAAGAGAATTTTGCTGAGAATTTGGAATAGGGCAAGATCAGGAAAAATCCAGCTGGGTGTCACAGGGTGAAACTCAGTGAGGAAGAGATCACACCAGTTTATCAATAGAAAACACTCATGTAATACATTTATAGAAATTCATGGGAGTTTCATGCCTAGCAGTTAAAGAAAAAAATTTACCCAGAAATGAGAGATGGCGTTGACAGAGAGTGATCTTTCCATCATGTGGTCCGGAGTGTCCAGGAAGAGCTTCCCTACCACAATGCCAGCATTGTTAATGAGGATGGTCACATCTCCAACGTCTTCTCTAACCTGTTCAGAAGAGAGGCAAGCATAAACCAACAGAGGGGTGCGTTTTGATATTTATGTTTTCAACTCATTGTTTTTTCTTCATTTTATTCAGATACAAATTATGCACCCTATAATGATACTACCATCAGCGACGCTACCATTTATATAACGGTAATTCCAAGATTATATTGTCTAGTGACATAGTAGCCCGCTTTGTTAGTAAATGTGCTTTGTGATAAAATCACCTAGCAATACACTTCTCAGAATGATCCCTGTCATTTAGCCATACATAATTTGTTGTTTTGAAATTGTTTTATCTTAGATAAAGTAGTATAGAAGTTTTAAAGTAATTTTATGATTAGAAATTTTTCAAAAGCACATTTTCAATTGTGTTTGAAAACTTCTTGATTTTTATGTGGAGATGATTTGCTATGCGTCTCAGTATATTTTCTTTGTTGCCTGGTTCTACTACGTTCTGGCTCTTTCTCACTGGGTCATTTAATGGCAGTGAGGAAAGAGCAACACTGTTTCCCTGTGCACACCTGCGCATCTTCCTTCAAATGGCAGTTAGTTTTTTGTCCTCAGGAGTCTGGTTACTTCTGTAGGTGACATTTCCCTCTGCAGATACAAGGGATGCATTCCATCTTTCTAAAGCTGGAACCATTCTTAGAATGGAGGCATCTCATGCATGGATGTGTTTCACCTAGTGCTCCGCGATACCGTGCACTTCTGCCAAAAAGTCTGTCTCTTGTGTAGTTATGACCTGTGACTAGTATTCCCCCAGTCTCCACAGCTGTGCTGCTGTGCCCCACTTTGTCCATTCTTGTCCCTTTTCTCCTGAATATCTCACCTTTCAAGTCTGCACAATCCACAAATTACCATGAGCTCTGTTTGGAAAAAATGTGCTTTAGGAAAAACCAGAGGGGCTATTTTTCTCTCTTACCAGTTTGTTTCAAATTATTTGCTAAATGCAACCCAGGAGTAAAGCATGAGGCATGTTTAAACATGATTCACAGTGTGTGTGATGGCAGTTATGAAAATTTGTTTCTTTGTTTTCAAGCAAAAAGCACTGGCTGCTGTGACCTGATTTTCTAATTCACTGTCCGTTCATTGCTATGCATTCATCCTGCCATATAACACAGACTGGAGAGATTAGGTAACTATTGCTACTGATGTAATTAAGAAAGAGATGAGAAAGGAAGGGTGGATATTTGCTGCACTGATGTCGGAATTAATCTCCTCTGTTCTGGAGAAAGACAAGACCAAGGAACATATCTCCAAGAGGCAAAATAAAACAGAATAAAGTCAATCAAAACAAGAGTGTAATTGACACAGGATTCCAAAACATGGTACTAGGAAATCAATAATGGTTACCACAGTGCCTTTTGTTGTCTTCAAAATAACTGCCCATATCTTCAGACATAGTAAATCAAACAAAACAGAAACAGAAACGAACCAAAAAAAACAAAACAATGACTGCAATACAGAACTTCAAAAGCAAGATAACTGTAAATCCAAAATGGCTACAATAATTCTGCAAGAACTTTAAAAGTAGGGTGTTCTGTTGGCTTCTGGTGATAGAACAGGCAAACACAGCTTTCAGTTCTGGACCAACAAACAGGATATATGGGCTGAGAAGGAGAAAAGGAGACAGGATCTTTGGTTTGTTTGTTCTCAAATACTCAAGAGAACCCCAGCAGTTGCTATTAACCAGTTCCAGAGCTCTGAGGCTTAGGGACACCAGAGCCACGGAGAATTTTATATAGGTCATGGGCTTTCCTTTCCACTGTGCTCTAGAGGCGATTTAAGCAGACTTTATCTCAGTTTATAGATGAACAAAGAGCCTCTGAGCAATTAACATCCTGTTTTGCAAGGAATGACAGCAATTCATTTGTATTCTGATATGAAAGTTGTTCTCACTCAAATTTACCATTGTTCCATAACAAAATTATTTGTAGCAAACAAATCTTATAAATCCCAGTGGTTGATTAGACCTGGAGATTTGGAAATAAAGTGTGATGTTGATTATTTTCAATAGAAACATTTATTTGTATATGGACTTTCTCCACTGTAGATGAGAATGCTATCTCAAATTAATTTTGGAAAGTTAATTTTTATGCTCCATCAGAATCTTGTCATTATTCTTCAAGCTTCCTATAGAATTTGAGAATTTCGATAATGCCTGTAGTTTGCTGAAATGTTTACATCTAAAAGTTGCTGCCAGTATTTGGTTTTCTTGGGAGCTGATGAGTAATTGGAATTAAGTAAGTAGTTGATTGAGAAAATTTCTATTTATAGGCTATGGACAAGAGGAAATTTCAGATATAGTCCAATGATAAAAGTGGTTTTTTTGTGATACTTAGATTAACTCCTGGGCCTTTACACTAAGCCGCGCCCTCAGCCCTTTTTATTTTTAATTTTTAAGTAAGGTTCTAATAAGTCACTAAGTTGACTAAGGTAGGCTAAATTTGCGATCCTGTTGTCTTAGACTCCAAAAATATGGAGACTACAAATATGCATCACAGTGACCAACTCAAATGTGATTTTTGAGAAAGGTTTTTAGCCCAGTTTTCTATTAGAGATCAAGAAAATTTTAACAAAGATGGAAAAATTTTTAGGAGACGGAGAGAGTAAGAGGTCCTAACACTTTTCAGTTTAGGAGATTTGGGCTGTGGATTTAGCTCAGCAGCATAAGCACCTGCCTTCAAACAGGTGGTCGTGAGTTCGATCCCTGGTATCGATAAAAAAAAAGTTTAGGAGATTTACCAGGTCATCTTTTCATTTCCTGCACTTTTTTTTGACGATGCCTCTGTGGAGTTGCAACATGGGCTCTGATATTGGGAAGGCTGGAGTACACTTTGGCTCTATCACTGTCTGTTCTGTGAACTGGTTCCTTAAGCTCTCACTACCTGTGTTTCATCATTAATAAAATGGACAAAATCATAGTATCTAGCCTCAATGAGAAAGTTGTATATGATAACAGTACAGGAGAAAACACTTTTCAGGCATTCTGTCTTGGGAAGTATGTAATACTGGGGGTAAGTCCTCTGCTAGACAAGACTATAGCTTCAAACTCATCCTAAAGATATTCATCTGGAAACTTTTACTATCACATGTCTCTTCTACAAAATGAAGACTAATTTTGATTTGATTTACTTTATACTAAAATATACCCAGGAAGCTGTGCATCTTCTCATTAATGGAAAGCAAGTCATAGTGTACAACTCCTCTGAGGCTCTAAAACACAGAAGAAAGTAGTATCAAGAGAAGACAAGACTGAAAAGGGTGAATCAGAAGTTCAGTATCACAGAGCAGTGACTCAGTAGTTAAGTTCTGATTGATTCAATAATGAATTCCATATATGGAGCTTAGATTACCAAAGGGAAGGACCGGAGCCAGAGATTTAGCTCAGCGGCATAAGCATCTGCCTGACAAGCACAAGGTCATGAGTTCGATCCCAGGTACCAAACAACAACAACAACAAAACAAAACAAAGTGGGGGGGGGAATTCTGTGAGAATTGTTAGCAAACTTTTCAGTTCCAGGTTGCCTGAGAAAAAATCTTGGCTCTACCAATTACTAACTTTATGGTTTGTGGCAAGTTCATATTCACTCTGTTTCTCAATTTCCCAATTTTAAAAATGCAGATGATAATAATGGTAAACACCATGAAAGTTGTGGTGATGATTTAAATGAGCAGATGTGTGTATAAATTGCTCAGAATATAACTCCTCGTGCATAGTGTGTCTTTTGAATTTTTATGTGTTTTTTTTTCATGCTGTCTTGATCCAGTTTTGTGGCCCTGGCCAGAGGGTGATCAGTTTACGTTTTTGAATAAGTGATTATGTTTGTATGTCCAACAACTTCTTTTTACTGTGTTCTCATTCTCTGGGCTACGCTATACCCACCTCAACCACCCCGGAGTCAGCTATCAGAAATCCAGGGACAACTTCTATGTACTAGGATCCTTTGAAATTATTCCAGTTGGCCAATCCTAAGAAACTTTGCCATGCATCACCTATTTATTCCTGTGGAAAGTAAAATAAAGATATTTATCTACTCTTCCCTTTGCTTCCTGTTCCACAGACACTTTCCTTAGTGGTCATGTATGATGTGCTGTCCCTTCTCTAGGAATTGTGAATAAGACACAGCTGTAAAATGTGCTCATTTCTCTCTCTTTGGATCTTTATCTGGTCTCATCACACCTTACACCATGTTTAAAAAACTGATGCTTGCCTATTGTTAGGATACATGGCAACCAAGCAATAAATCTTTGCCAATTAGTATGAAGTTAGAACAAATGTCAGTCTTTTAATTCTAAGAGGAAACTTGGTCTGTAAGTAGGCTAAATCTGTTTTTATGTTCTCTACCCTGTATTCGCAGAATACGATGATAATGAAATTATCATGTGACCAAATGGCATTTAATTGGTATTGGAATTGTGAAACATAAAAAACTAAGTTAAAATTGTACATGATCCTAAAGGTCATCTGGTTCAAATCTTTTGTTTCATAAATAAAGAACCAGGAATGTTCAGCATTCTACAACAGTGAACAGCAGAGCTAAGATTACACCTAGTTTCTTCCAACGCCTGCTGAGTAATGAGTCACCATGCAGAAAAGTCTGGCATGATTAGGCTCTGAAGGTTAGCTAAGTTGTCACTTGCTCTGTTAGTTTTGGAAGTCACAAAGTCACAAAGAGATCTTGGGGGGAAGCTTAGGATAAATGTCTCTCCTCCTGCCTTGGGAATAGATGGGCTGTCCTTGGGCACTGAGGTGAAGAACACTCTCACCATACCTGATCAGCGACTTTGTAGACCTCTTGCCTGCTGCTACAGTCACACTTGTAGGCAAAGACTTTCACACCGCCCTTTTTCTTGGCCAGTCTACATGTCTCCATGTTGGCTTCTTGATTAATGTCCCAGAGAATTACAGTGGCCCCAAGACTGGCAAAGTGCATGGCCAGCAGCCTCCCAAGTCCGCTTCCAGCTCCTGTTATAAGTACAATCTCTCCAGCGACATCCTTTTTACTCTTTGGAATTAGGCTGACAATTAAGGATTCCAGAGCGTAATACAGAAATTTTCCCAGAAATATGATCGTGTCCAGTATGATATTCATGTCGGTTGACAAAAGCAATGTCCTGAGAAGAAGAAGGATCGTGTAAGCTCATTACTTTACAACTACTTCAGTGTGTGTGAACAATTAGTACGAGACTGTAACCTGGAGACTAGTTCTCTGTTATATATTTTAACAACAATTATCAAAGTAATTGAATTTTAAAATTAAATAAATAAAAATTGGGAAGATTATTTTATGTTAACAAGAACCTTCCCAATTTGCAAATTTCTTCCTTAACACATAAGCTAATTGATTGATATGTAGGTCACAGGTTATTAGGACAACTTCACCATTAAAGATGGGGAGATTTTGTGCCTTTACTGATTTAGCCTTATGTGACAAATAAATAAGGTTTTGGACTATTAGTCCAGTAATTTTTCTGTTATATGAACATACTTGCTGATCTTGTATCTAACAAAGACTTTACTTTCCATTATGCAATTGTTCAATAATGTGCAATACTATTACAATACAAATAATATTATAACACAAGTATAGCTTTTATACATTTTATCTGCTCCCATGATATCTCTTTGATAGAGACAAATCGTGTGGCCATTTCTATTTTATAGTGAGAACATTGAAACACAAATATTGAGTAGATTTATTTAAGGTAACATGACTAGCTAATAAGATAGGCCAAAGTTTTCTGAATTGTATCTAGGTCTTAACCATTGACTCAGATTTTCTTGGGGCTCGTGTGTCCTTTTTGAAGAGCAAACTTTTTCTAAATGGAGGATTTTTGTATTTGATGATATTTCATTGATTTTTGTTAATAGTATTGTTATACTTTGAACATCCTCACATGCTCATTTTATGTAGAAACTCAACAGAAACATATACAAAATCCACGTTAAAATAGACCAGACCTATCGAAAGAAATAATCCACTACAATAGTAAGAATAAGAATAAATGGTAGCAATACCATGTTATGATACCATGGAACTCTTTCCATACACCAGGCAAATTCCAAGCGCTCCGTGTACGTTAAGTCACTGTAACACCTCCAATAGCTGCCCTGCTTACTTCTATGAGAAACGTGTCATTAGGGCTAAGTAAACCAGTCCATAGTCACACAATTAATAATAATGGGGATGGATTGAAATTCACACCAAGACTTCACTGCTCAGGTTATGAAATACTGAGAAACGTATCAACTCTCACTCCCCATAAAGGGCAAAACTTGACTCTGGTAAAAAGAATTGTCTTTGCATGACTACTTTTTCATTTTAAGTCAGTCATGAATTAACAATTGAAATGTCTATGGAACTCAAGGATGGATATCAAAAGGTCTAAGTAGCTGTCACTTTGCAGTCACTCCTGTCCTGATAGAAATTTCTACTGAGATAAGACAGACAGCATTGTATTGAGAACATTCTCGGAAATATTTATGTAGGTTTCAGAGGGGAAAAAAAAGTATCTGAACATTAGGTGTTGAGGTTTAAAAATGTCATTCTTACCCTGAAGGGAGATGACAGAGTCTAGTTCTAGAGCTTGATAAGTAAACTCAGGGTTGTTCCAAATGCCTTGGAAACGGTCTCAGCAAAGGGCTTGGTCCCTGGGTTGTATAATAGGAAGTCTGGTTCTTGGAAGGGGAGTGAAGAAAACAAGACCAGGGATTGCACTAGAGTTCAACCCAGAAGTCTATCTTCAAGATGTAGCAAAGAGAAAAGACATTAGAGCTATCTTCCATGAAAATATTTGGATTTATGGAAAATATTAACTATACTTTGAAAGATATCGTCATTAGAAAAATTAGAGACTTTCACTTACCTCAAAGGTCACTAAAAGTTAGTGCAGATTTCAAATTTCCAATCAGGAATGAGATGAAGTTACAGAATGTGCACTCCTCTGCAAGCTTATAGAGAGGGAGAGAGTTTTCTGGGTCAAGTACATTCTCCAGCAATGTGTATTTCAATAATAAAAGGAATAGAGGAAAATGGAAAGTAAAAAGGACTAGGATGTTATGTGTGTATATGCCAACTCCCCACAGTGAATGTCTTCACTAAGTACTGCAAACATGCACTAAAAAAGGAAAATGAAGTAGAGGTATGATAGAGAATGCATTCTGAACTGAAGGATTATTGTATAGAAAACAAATAAGGATTAGGTTTTTCCTCTTATCTTTTCTGTATAAGAAAGTTTATTCTCAAATTAGATAATGGGATTTGATAGAAAGAAATTCTGTTATCATGCCATGAAAATGAATAAATTCCAGCGACATATTGACATGCTTGGTACCGCTTAGGGGATAAGAGTTTGACATTTTCCCAATCATTCATTGCTTAAATGACCACTGAATTAGAGAATGTACTTGCAGAATCAGCAATAGCACCCAGTTTTGGAACAAATTGAAAAGTATCCATGAGCTCTTATAAGGAAGTGCCCGTCAGTCTAGATTACTGCTCCCAATGGGCAGTTGGGTAGTCAAAGGAGCAAAGCAATCAGAAAAAAACAAGGATTATGATGGACAAACATGATTAGGTTGTAAATAGCACTTTTCATGCTGTATTTTATTTAATCCTCAAAATAGCCCTGTGTGGTAAGACTGAGTCTTATGCAGGGACTTAAATTGCTAAGACTTATATCCGCCATAAACAAAAATGGGTTTGGGAACAGCTATTTTGAAGAAAACAAGACATTATAATAGCCAGTGCTGATTTAATATAATCTTGTTTTGAAGTCCTACCATACTTTTGTTCTTCTGTTTCCAATGATTCTATCATATAGTATTTTATTGTGTGATAGTATAAACAAATTTTTTATGGACAATGGGATAATTAGAGTAACCATTGTTTGTTTCCTGTTATTTAGTTCTGAATGCCCTGTAATACTTTCATTCTCTTGAATGGTTTTATACTATTTTATTATGTTTGACACTATTGTGTATGAAGATATGCTCAACTATTTCAAGGAAAGAGACATTATGGTAGCTACTGTTATATCAGGTTGTCTTCTGGTGAAATACTGTGTTGCTTAAATTCTTTGCTTTGTTATGTCCTCTTTTATCTTAATCTCTTTAAAATACAAAAAATTTAAAAAATGGAATTGGACCCCAGACTCAGTACTCCTGGATCTACCATGTGTTTTTCCTAAATAATTTTTGGTAAATTGGGCTTTGAATCACAAAGAACTTCTTTCATTACTTCTTCAGACAGATGTGGAGTGCTTCAGGTTAGAGGATTGGTGTGAGAATAAATAAGCATTAATGCCACCAATACACAAACCTTAGAACTGGAAAGCACAGAACTCGATTTTGGAATCACAGATTTAACCAGTAGCTCTGCTGTATTACTGTTTGAGTACTTGGGGCATGTTTTGTGTTTCTGAATTTTTGACCATATATCTGTGAAGTGATCATGATATTCATGTTCCATGAAAGCTACCTAAAATGTAACAAGGTTCTTGATAAATTGTGAAATGTCACCCAGATATTAGCCTTCATTTCACTTGCTCAAAAGCCTCTGTCATGATGAGCTTGAGTCTGAGGCCAGCCAGACACTTAAGAAGATTCTCTATGTCAAGTCACGAAAAGCTTTTCTCTGTAGCTTAGGGTTTTACCTTACTGTGAAATTGCTGAGGAGAGTTTCTAAGCGGATGTAGTCAGGCTACATTTTCCATGTCACCCGTGGGTAAGTGTGAGAACTGCTGGGAGACCACGGGTAGCTTGGGTGTGCATGTGAGCTGGAATGCACGACCAAAGGAAAATCAAACACAGGCTGAACTCTAGAACATAGGTGTATTCCAGGTCATGCAGTTTCCCTCACTCCTCTCGGAGTTCTCCCTGGTTCTTTCTTTCCTCAACCTGCCAAACCCATTAGAAAGTGAGGGGGGAAAATCATTAGAAAAGAAGAACAAAGAAACATGGGAAATGATGGTAGAATTAGTTCACACCAGTATTTAGGAATCATATCAAGTTGTGCTCAGTGAACCTGCTTCTCAACAACATCTGGAATCTCTTAAGAGCTCAAAAGAGCGAATCTTACCTGTACAGAGCTTCTCACCGTAGCACCGCGTTGTCCTTATGCAGGCAGATGCAAACAGAGCTCTTGTTAGCAGCTAGAAACTTGTCCCTCAAGTGATTCTGGTTTTACTTGCGTGCCTACACCTTTGGCATCTTTTGCTAGATAAAAGAGTATCAGATAAAGGAGTGTCCCTAGGTAGAATCTGACTGTGCTTCATCTGTGATGATATTAGTCAATGAAAGGCAGACCTGTTGTACAGTATTTTCAGCTTCCAGAGTGGCCAGGAGTAGAGGTGTATCTGCCATTGTAGCATCATACAGAGAAGTCTCACTGCCCTAAAAATCTCTGCTCTCTGCTTGTTCGTACTCTCTCCCCTCCAGTCCCTGAAGGACACTGATCTCTTGACTCTCTTCACAATACTGCCTTTACCAGAATATCAGAGAATTGGACTCACAAAGTACGTAGCCTTTTCTCATGGGCTTCTTTGACCTAACATTATATACTTCAGATTTCTCCATTTTCCATGGCTTGATCATTTATTTCTTTTTATTGTTAAATAACATCCCACTGTCTCAATGTAGTACAATTTATTTATTCATTCACGTACTTAAGGGTATTTTGGTTCCTTCCAAGTTTTAGCAGTTGTGAAAAAGGCTGCCACAAACATTGTGTGCAAGCGGAAAGACAGGTCCAACCCTGTTTTTCCAAGTTCTAGAAAGTTGCAACTCACAATTGGATCTCCATAAATAGGGTCATGTACTACTTAGTGATATCATCAGTAGTCCACATACACACAGTGATGCCATAAAATCATAATGGGACTAAAAAATTCCCATAAATATTCTTTATAACTTCATATTCACAAAGTATTACTTATGTGCATGTGATGAATAAATATCTGAAGCTATATATTTATGTAACTTGTTTGTCCAGTTGTACAAAATTATAGCAGAAACACTGATACATAGAAGATGATACTTGATTATGAGCACAAACTATGTAACAGGTTTACGTGTTTAATATACTCTACTTTTATCATCAAAGCATATTCTTTCTACTCATAAAAAGAAAACTTTGTTTCATGCCTTCTTTTGTTTTTTTTAAAATTTTATTTAAAAAGTAAAAGGGTACAAGTAATACAGAATTTCAAAAAAAATAAACAGTAAGAAATCACTAGTTAATAGATTACATATTGTCATCTTAGAAATAGTTGTTCAAGTTACAAAATTAAGCATACAAAGTGGACATTCAAACAGTGAGCCTGCAAACAGTTGTGTTCAATGATCCAACAAAAACTTAGTAATATGGTCATCTATCTTACACACCTAAACACCACCTTGTAGTTTTGTCCTTTAGAGCATTTTCTTTTCCTCTCTTTTTTACAATAACATTTACACATTTTGGTTTTTATTACTCCCACAGTTCTTATTACTTTTTTTTTGGAAGAGAATAAAACCAAATGTTACAAAAGAAAGCAGTCAGTCAAAACAAAGGATGGACATAGTACATGACATAAAAACAGAATACAAGGTAATCAACAATGGTTATCACAATGCCTTTTGCTACCTTAAAAACAATTGCCTATATCATCAGGTATAATAAAATTAAACAAAACAGTACAGAACAAAACCAGAAACAGAAACAGAATAAAACCTAAACTTTAGAGATTTTACTGAACTTCAAAAGAAGATAATAGTCAAACCAGAATGAGCATCATAGTGAATCTTATTGCCTTCAAAGTAGTTGCCTATACCCTCAAACTTGATACTATCTCATACCTTCTTTTGATGGCCACAGCCTCATATGTATCAAGTGTACATCAGTTGATTGCATCCTAAAGCATGTCCAGTGAGTGATTTTTTCCATGTATGTAAGTATGTGTAAGTGAAGTTCTTACAGGAAGGAAATATTCTAATAGTGTTTTTCTTAACTGTGTCCCCATTATTAAGTAATAAATGATTGTTTGTCAAGCCAATGAAATAAAGATTATGATTTGTTCATTGTTAAGCTACTTAATATTATATTAATACTTAATATAATACTAATTTTTAAATTTAAATACATATACAGTGACAAGGTGGTATTGAAATGGAATGATAGCTTCCTAAATCAGAATTCTAGATTTCTGGATTTTTCATCTGTCTTTTTAGGTCATGATTTTCTTTTGATTTAAAATGTGGCTATTATTGCTTCATAATTACATCTGACTTGCAGCCAGGAAAAATGGGAAAGCAGGAAACAAAAGTATTTCTTAGAGGCTGTTTCCGTTACTTTGCCATATATCTTCATTGCTATCTTCAAAATAGCATCTCCTTTCTGTGCTTTTTTCCCAGGGATCAGATCACATATGCCATTCTGTTCCATATAGTAGATTTCCTCACACTTCTGAGTTCCTTTGGTGATAGTTTCTTCAAAAAGTGGTTGTTTTGTCACTCTGGTGGGTCCATTTGTGTTTGCATCGTCCTGTGCTCCTTTATTTTCTTGGTTGAAACAATAATTCAAGCTCAACTTTGAAGAGCTCAAAGAAAATTTTACCTGTAAGTTTTGAGTCTCAACCATAGTCTTCAAAGGTTTGTTTCACAACTCAGTGTTCTGATTTCAACTCTTTGTTTTGGTTAAGCAATGTTATAATTCTCCCTTTGCTTGAGCAATAAACTCAGGCATGGGTGATTTTCCATTAGGACAGCAACCTTGCACAATGGTTTACTTTTCTGTGTAAACCCTAAGATCATTGGGGCATTGCTGGTGACCTGAGATCATGCAGAGGCTGACAGCCCTCTATGGCTCTTGTAGTTTACAACTTTTCAGTTGTTAATTGAGAAGTTATCTTATAGAAGCAGTGCCTTAGAAGGACAAGATTCATGAGCAGACAACTCACAATCAATATTTTCAAAGCCTTGAGCTTTGATATTTTTTTTTTCCTAGCTCTGAGGAAAGAATGCAGAACATCAGAGGCAGAAAAGTTCAGGGAAGGGAGGATTCCAAAACCAGAAGAGGCTGCCTCTTCCTTAGGGTGAGTCAGCACTCTCCCTGGGCCTGCCCTCTTCAAGCCGCAGAAATAGGAGCCATCCTGGAAGCATGAAGCAGTCCTTACCAGACACTAAATCTGTTGCTCCTGGGATTTGGATTTCTCAGCCTATACAATTGTGAGAAATAAATTTTATTATTTATAAATTACTCAGTTGTTCTGTGTCATAGAAGTATCTTATTTCTCCATTAAATTTTTTAAAAATTTTATTTAAAGAGAGAAAAAAACAAAACAGAAAAGAGGGTAGAAATAATACAGAATTAAAAAAATTAACAGTAAGAAATCACTAGTTGATAAATTACATATTATCCTTTTAGAAGTAGTTGTTCAAGTTACAAAATTAAAGCATACAAAGTGGACATTCAAACAGTGAGATTGCAAACAGTTCTATTCAATGATCCAACAAAAACTTAGCAATATAGTTATCAATCCTACACATTTAAACATACATGCAGTTATATCTTTTAGAGCACTTTATTTTCCTCTCTTTTTTACAGTAGCAATTACACATTTTGGGCTTTATTACTCCTGCATTTCTTATTACTTTTTACACTAGAGACACAATGTGATATTTATAAATATGGTTCTTATTTATTTCATTTATGAGGATAGTCTCAAGTTGTCTCCATTTACCCATGAAAGCCTCAAGGTCATCCTTTTTATAGCTGAGTAATATTCCATTGTATAAAAATAACCACATCATTTTCATTCACTCTGCGGTTGATGGGCATTTTGGTTGTTTCCAAGATTTAGCTATTACAAATTGTGCTGCTGTAAACATGGGTGCACATATATCACTGTCATAGGACCTTTTCAGTTTTTCTGGGCAGATACCCAGGAGGGTACTAGCTGGATAGAATCCTAGTCTTCTGAGAAATCTGCATACTGATTTCCATAGTGGCTGCACCAGTCTACACTCCTACTAACAGTGGAGCAGTGTTCCTTTTTCCCATATTGTTGCCAATATTTGTTATCAATTGTTTTCTTGATGTCAGCTATTCTTTCCAGAGTGAGATAAAGTCTCAATGCTGTTTTAATTTGCATTTTTTGAATGACCAGTGATGGTGAGCATTTCTTCATGTATTTATTTGCCATTTGTATATCTTCATCTGAGAAATGTGTGTTCATCTCAGATACCCATTTTTGGAGAGGGTCTTTGAATTTGGGGGGCTTGATGTTTTAATTCTTTATATGTTCTAGATATAAGTCCTTTGAGGAGTTGCTGGCTCTCCATTAAATTTGATAGATAGTTTTTCAAGTTACATCAATCTGGGTTCTCAGTTTTCTTTCAGGACTTTACTTCACTCCAAGCTCTTCTTGACTCCAGGATTTGTGTTGAGAAGTCTGCCGTGATTCTGATGGGCTTTCCCTTATAGGTGATCTGTTTCTTTTCTCTAGCAGTTTTTTAATATTGTGTTCCTATGTTGTATATCTGTGATCTTGAATATTACATGTCTAGGTGTAGATTTATGTTGGTTATGGCTAACTGAAGTTCTATATGCCTCACTTGTCTCAATGTTAGATTCTTCTGTCATTCTTGGGAAATTTTCGGCTATTATTTGTGCAAATACTTTTTTCTGTCACTTGTGTTGTGCTTTTTCACTGAAACCAATTAATCTTATATTATTTTTCTTAGCATCATCTCTCAGCTGCCAATTATTTTCTGATATTTTGTTATTTTCAGGAAATGCTTCCTTTCAGGATCATTATCCAAGATTCTATCTTCCAGGTATGAATGTCTGCCTTCAGTTTTGTTCATGCAGTTTTGCCAGCTTTCAGTGGAATTTTTAATTTCCTGGATATCCATTTGAATCTGTTTCACCTGTTGGGAGCCATTCAAACTGGAAATTGAACTCACATGCAGGGCTGCTGCATGGCCAGGGCAAGTTAAGATAAGGCTGAGGACACTAGGCTCCAACTCCAATTAACCAAATAAAGACTGTAGTTGCAGGCCTTTCACTCCTGCAGTGAAATGCAACATGGGAATCTCCTTGCTAATATAATTTGTTACTTGCAAAGTCCTTGAACC